CTTAGTTTCCACCCGTTGCTTCTTGTCCTGTTTTCAGGCGCCTTGGAAAATAGCTTGACACCCTCTTCTTTGTGGAGAAGCATATGTGTTAAAAACAGTGCAGGGTCAAATACAGTGATAGCACACTGTACAACCTTTTAAGTGAGGTCACAAATTGTCTGATCCAGGGTCTGACAGGAAAACTAACTACCGTGTTAATGCTTTCCTAGAAACTAACAGTTTGAACCTTGCAGGGAATGTTAATTCCAGAAAGCAGGAGTAGCGAAGTCCCACAAGATGGCGGCTTGTGGACAGGACCCAGAACACCCCTGTCCTACCAAGTCTTACCAGATTGGTAGAAATGGTTGGAGAAAGATTTTCGAGAGGGAACCAAGTCCTGAACCACAAAGGGCCACCTGAAAACCAACTGGTAACCAATGTAGTTCGTGAAGTAGAATTACTTCTCCATTTCCTTCAGTACAAATCTGATCTCAAAACTATTATACAATTAGAATAGTTTAGAAATTTAACATGGAGGGAAAGGAAAGAAAAATAAAACTTCGTAACATTCTCACTGGAATGCCTAGGTGGTCTTCAACAGGTGCTTTAAAACGACCAAGTATCTTTCTAAAGTCAGGACAGAGACCCAGATTTCTGACACTGCTACACAGAATGTTCATTTGTAGAGTGGCTGGAAGTAGACAGCATTTAGTGCAGGGGTAGTCAACCTTGGCTCTTTTATGACTCGTGGACTTCAACTCCCAGAATTCCTGAGCCAGCTTAGCTTAGCTGGCTCAGGAATTCTGGGAGTTGAAGTCCACGAGTCATAAAAGAGCCAAGGTTGACTACCCCTGACTTAGTGGGATGCATCAAAAGAGTTAGTTTAACCATTGACTAGATATATTACAATGAACACAATTTGTCACAGACATCTAAATCTGGAGACCCAGATAATGTGTAAAAAGATGTGATGCCTTTTCCTACGAGGTTAGGAGGCAGTAGTGCTAGGAGTAAAAAAAAGAAACCATTGCAAATAAAATAGGTTAAATACTGTAGGGGCTTCAGTTTCACTAAATCATTCTCAGTTTTGCTAGTTTCTAGCTAGCTCTTTAGACCAGGGTTTCCATATTTTGGCAACTTTTTAAGATGTGTGTGGATTTCAGTTCCAAGAATCCTTACCCGGCACGCTGACTGAGGAATTCTGGGAGCTGAAGTTCACACATCTTAAAATTGCTGAGGTTGAGAAACACTTGCTTTAAACAACCAAAGGAACACACAATTTCTACACAATCTGTAATAGCACACGGATAACGTTCTCCAAACCTTGATCCTGAATGTGGCTAAAACAAACTAATGTCCCAAGGTTAAATCAACAAGCTTGGTTTTATCAGTTGGGATATTTCAGTAATACCCAGTAGGTGGCAGTACAGTAAAGCCTATCATACTCGGTTTTTTTTACCAGCGTGAAGGGCCTATGGCACCCAATCAAATCTCACACTTTTGTGGTAATTTTGTGTTTCTTATTTTGGGAAGCTTTTAGCTTTAGATCATTTCCTATGATCTTGTCTTTTATCCAGAGATTTAATAAATCAAACCTGAACATTTCTGCCTCCTCCAGTTAGAAGAGCCTGGCAATCAGCCTTCTCTCTAAATGCGCAGCTGGTGTAGGAAAAATGTCATTAAATTCTACTTTCTCCACTAGAGATTGAAGCAAGGATTAGAATAACTGCTTGATTTCCCCTTGAAAAGTTGACTTGAGTTAAAATAGCAACCTGTTCCCAACAGGTTCTATTCTTTTATAAGAAAGAGCACACTCCCAAGAATGTTTCAGAATAGTTTCTCTTTCTCTTGAAAATTAAAAATGACTGTGAAACTTGATACCTTTCCTGCAGCTGTTCCTTTTTATGTCCTGCACAGAAGCAGCTATCATTTCCTTTTCTTACGTTTGGATCCTAGTTTTCCCATTTTTTTCCCCCCTAGTTAGACAAGGTTTGAATTGTATTCCTTCCAAATGTTTCCCAAAAATCTTGGAACAGTCTCAAGCTTCAGGTTGCTCTTGTTTGATGGAGCTATTGTACTGCGTATAATGCAGTATAATGACCCTGCTAGAAACATCTAAGTTCTTCTCTGGGACAGCAACTTCTGAACTACATCCTGAAGAATCAGGACTCTAAAAGCCATTACTCGAATCTCAGATCTTCAGGTAACCTAGGAATCCATGCTTGATTCAGAGGATGAAATGAAGAGGACCAATTAGCCACAGAAACTACAGAGCTGGTGAAATTTTAGACCCACTGGAGAGGTTTGTGGTTGAGATTCAGATCTTCTGATGACCTATTGTGAGATAGGAGCCTCTTCAGTAGAGAATGTCGTGATTCCGACAGACAGAGACAAAGCAGAACTCCGAGGCTTGGGAATTCCTCAAAGAACATGTTTATTAGTTACAAAGTATCAGCACGTCAAAAGTGAAACCAAGTCTGAAAACACACGTAGCAATTCCCCAATACAAAGTTAAGAAATCCCACCTCTAATGCTATGCAAGCAACTACATTCCCCAATATATCTTCTTGGCAGGCTTTTCACGAAAAGCCCAGCCTACAGTCTCGGGAGCAGCCGATGACCTTGGTTCTCACGGGATAAAAGTTTATTTAGACTAGCAAAGCACCTGGCAAAACCCCACCCTCCGTTCTATGTGTCAACCAAAAATGAGTAGGAAAAATGGGTGCAGCCATGCTCATTTTTAGAGTTGACAGAAGAATTGTCTTGATGGTATGCAGCTGGTACCGAGGGGTGTGGTTCTGGAGTCTGTGGCTTCAAAATCTTCAGTTTTTAGCATTCAGTAATGGATTAACATTTCTTTTAGATAATGGTTATTTGATTCCTAGTTCAGAGTTGTTTTTTTCTATTTTTGTTAACACTTTTTTGAGCATCCCTGGCTGGTTTTTGACCATGCTTCCATTTGATCATGTACACTGAATATGCACAGCTGTTCAGCTAAAATACACTGACTAAATTGTGGATCACTGGTGCTTTGAATTTGTCGTTGAAAACTAGAAAATTGGGTTGAGTTCAGTTAGCCATAAGTTAATGTCCACGTTGACTTAATTATAGGAAAGTTATGGGAATCTACATGGATGGAGTAGAGATAGGGTCCCACATAATCTGGAAAGGGCTGTTGTCTTCAAGGTTATGGATTGCCAGTTTTTTAAATGCAGACTCACACGTCTAATCTAAAGGATGCACAACACACCATTTCTATATCTATTTCCCCTTTCTTAGCATATAAATTTTAGTCCACTGGAAAAGCAAATTTGATTTATCCAGAGAATCATGTGACTGGACTTGATTTTGCTACATTTTTTGCAGTACTCAAGCAAACATCAGTCATTAAGGAAATCAATTTTCCCCAATGAGCACTTTTTGCCATAGCAAAGACATAGCAAATCACAGTCACATGACTATCGGATGCTGCAAATGGCCAAAAAGGTGAGCTGCTGTGTTGTGGCCATCATGACTTTGAAAATGGGTTGTAAATAGCTTTTGAAGTGGGGGGGGGCTATCATAATTTTGAAAGGTTGTTAAGCTTTCAGTCATAAGTTGAGGATTACTTGTTTTTTTTGTTTTTTTTAATTAATTTATTTATTTTTCCAAACTCTCCCCCATACATATACCGTGATATTTATCAGATGTTAACATACATTCTTTTTACATTTTTATATATAAGATACTTTTAATGAAATAAATACATACACATGACTTTTGGTGTTGCTCGCCCATTTCCCCTTTCACTGCATCCACACTCCTTCTTCTCTACCTTCTTTCTCCCTTTCTTCTCTTTCTTCCCTACTTCTCCCTACTTCTTCCTCTCCTCTCCTCTTTCCTTCACCACTCTCTCCTCCAACCTTAGTTGAGGATTACTTGTGTTGCATCTACCCTGGCCTGTTTTAGGTTCAGAAGCTAAGTGGACTTGGTCATCACTTAGATCAGTGGTGGCGAACCTTTTAGAGACTGAGTGCCCAAACTGCAACCCAAATCCCACTTATGTATCGCCGGGTGCTGGGTGGGCGTGGCTATGGTGGAAATGGTAGACTGGGTGGGGGTGGCCATGGTGGGGGGTGGCCAACTCGATGTTGCTCTG